GGAGGCGGAGTTTGCAGTGAGCCAGGATGGTGCCACTAAACTCCAGTCTGGGTGATAGACCAAGACTGTGTCTACAAAAAAAAAAAAAAAAAAAATTAGCCAGGCATGATGGCATGTGCCTGTAGTCCCAGCTACTTGAGAAACTGAGGCCGGAGGATCGCCTGAGCCCAGGAGGTCGAGGCTGCAGTGAACTATGATCATGCCACTGTGACAGAGCAAGACCCTGTCCCTTAAAAAAAAAAAAGACAATATAGAAGAATATTTAACAACATAAGGAAATATTTACTATTTGTTAAGGAGGAAAAAGCAAATACAGAACAGTAAACAGACGACAAAAGTAAATTGAAAAACATATACATCTACAGTACAAGATCTGGAATGATAATCAGTATTTAAAGGGTGACTAGTGATCTTTAGGTAGTGTTATCAAGGTTATTTTAAATTTTGTTTATGTGGGTCCATATTTTACAAATATTCCATAACAAACGTAGAGCATTTTTTACATCAAAATATATATTAAAATATATATAAAGTATATTTTTATATATTACATAAAAAGTGTCTATTTTTTCTTTCTTAGACATGGGGTGTTGACGAGGTGCTGTCTTTTTCTTTTGTAGAGACAAAGAGGAAAGAAAAGAATATATATATACACATTTACATATTTTTTACGTAATAATATATAAATATGCATATATGTTTTATGTAACAAAAATATATAAATATTTATATATTTTTTTCCTTTTGTAGAGATGGGGTATTACTATGTTGCCCAGGCTGGTCTCAAACTCCTGGCCTCAAGTGATAGTTCTGCCTCAGCCTCCCAAAGTGCTAGGATTACAGGCATGAGCCACTGTGCCTAGCCTATATTCATTTTCAAATGTGAAATTTTAAAATTAGTTTTAAAAATAGTTGAAATAAATTCATCTTCTATTCTAGTGGTCAAATCATAACATTTGTACTCTGAACCATGAATCAATCACACGTTGACACAAGGTACTATTTTAAGTACTATTAGATTTTAAGTAATAAGACTAACAGGAAAAAGGTAAACACACTTAAAAATCTATCAGATTTTATCATCTAAATTATCTAAGTCATTCAATAATATGTAAAGATAAGAATCATTGTATACCAATGAAATTACCTAATATGTAAAAAATACTTTCAAAGTTTCTCCCTGTTCTCATGAGTATACTAAAATCTTACACATCAAGATAAAATCTATTTTTCCCTCTCTTGCTGGTCTAACCTTAGAGCACTTCTTATCTGTAATCTCAATTAGACATATACAATAGCCATGTATAATAATGAGCAGCTTTCGTAACAGAAGAAGTCAAAAGGCCCAAGATGAGAACCTTATCACCTACATTTTCTTCCTCCTCCTCATTATTATTATTATTATTGGAGATGGGGTCCCACTATGTTGCCCATGCTGATCTCAAACTTCTGGGCACAAGTGATCCTCCAGACTTGGCCTCCCAAGTGCAGGGATTTCAGGTGTGAGCCATCCTGTCCTGCTTCTCTTACATTTTCAACTCTTAGACCTGGGCAAGTTAACTTACCTCTCTGAATCTCACTCTTCCTAGCTCTAAAATAGAATAATAATATTTATCTCATAGGGTTTTTGTGAAGACTACATCAAAGAACGCATGCTAAATGCTCAGTACAGAGCCTGAAGAATAGAAGGTACTCAATAAGTGGTGACTGTTATTAAAGTCACAATGCAATAGTTTTTAAGTCAGAAAACCTGTCAAGCCTCTGGAAAACTATATGACCCTGGGCAAGCTACTTACCCTGTATGGACCTCAGTTTCATCCTCTGCAAAACACACACACATATATAATACCTATCTTACAGGTATGTGCCAAGAATTAAACAAAACTGTATACAAAAAGCATCTTGCATATATTAAGTGCTCAACAAATTGTAGCTAGCATCATTATTAGGTACAAAAAAAAATTTGAGTACAGGGATTAGCAGTTTACAAAACATTTTTATGTATAAGAGTATATGTAATTCTATGAATTATTTAAATAAGTGTATTTAATTCTTAAATTAGGTGTAAATTTCAGAAAAAAGTAAAATACAGGCAATCTCTTCTAAGCACACAAAAATAAAAGGCCGTTTTTTAAGTCTCAAAGTAAAAATGTGTTCCCTATAACTGGATCCACTTTAACATTTTTAAAGTCCAAATAAATCAAAAAGAGTTGAAAGGGGAAATGTTTACTTTTTCTGCCTCTGGAATAAGGGGAAAAAAATTCTAAGTCCTTAGAAAGAAAATAGAGATAAAATTGTTCAATTTTTTTTAACGACTTCACATTTCTTTACACAACTAAAATATAAGTGCCTTTAATACAAGAGCTCTTAAAGTTCTGACTTCCTGTACTATATATACCTTTGTGCAGAAGCAGTAAAACACTATAGTTAAAAACCACAGACTGTGGAGTCTGACTACCTTGATTCAAATTCTGGCTCCATCGTAGCTGTGTGACCTTAGGCAAGTTTTAACTTCTCCCTACCTGTTTCCAACATCTGGCAAATGGAGATTCCTCTTGGGACTGTGGTAAGGATTAAATGAGTTAATACACTTAAAAATGTTCATCAGAGAGCCTAGCAAATGGATGGCACATCACAACTGTTTACCATTTTTGTTACTGATTTATTACTGCCACCTCGAAATGCTTATATCTATGTTAACAAATACGTGCCACTTTGTGGACAATTTCAACAAATGTCTTTACCTAAAATGAGACCTGTTTAAGAAGTACCTTAATATGGTTTCCACTGCCAATAAAGATACAGCAATTGCTGCTAGAGAGGATTTTAGGGCAAAGGTAAGTAAAGTCCATCCCTTTCTTACATCTTCTGTCACACAGAGGAGTAACATCTTTGCTTGCTAATAGAAGTTCAGAGCCAAGAGTTTTATAATTTAGGCATGACACACACCAACCCAGCAGACACAATATTCTCCAACATGTCATAGAGATTAAATAAGATATAGTAAATGGAAGTGTATGAAAGTTACATATGTATTAAATACTATTTTATGTATGTACTTGAGAAAATTGCAGCAATGTATTTCTCCAATCTCATATTGTTGCTTTCTAACTCCAAAACTAGTGTTCTGCCCACTGCAAACCAGGGGCCAGAGTAACAAGACACAAAGTCAGATTAAAGTTGCCATCCCACTAAATCATTTCCTGCTTGAAATGTACTTTCTTAAAATGTCTGTACAACAGATAACGCAAATAGTACTTGTATTATCCAAGCCTCAGGCCTACACCAAAAATTTAAGGAGTGACATCCTGGAAATAGGCCAATTCAAGACCAGAAAAATATCTCTACAATTAGATCAAACAATGCCACACCAATTCCCAACTGTCCATAATCCTAGCCTGAGTATAGAAAAAAGCTGAATAACTTCAGATTCAAGAACATGATAACCCAGAATATCAGAGGTCAAGTACATAGGGCCACATTTCAACTCCAAGTACATGGCTGGAATGTTTACCTGGCTCACTAACTGAAAGTTGGGTTTCAGCATCAATCAGGGATACGGCCATGAATAGGCTACACAGGCCAGATCAAACCACAGGTCACTTGGCACCCTTCATTGGGCCAGATCCTACTGAATGCCAACCCTTGACCTGGTGAATAAAATGGGAGGCTGGCAGTCAAGACAGATTCTTCCAGTTGCAGCTCCATTTTGAGATTCTTCATTGATATAACCAGTGAAATCAAATTTGGATAAATGTGAAGAATTTCTCAAATATAGATGGAAAACTTACTTGAGTATGCTTCACAGATCTAGCCACTTTTTTGTTTAGCAAAATATTCAGTAAAATATATTATTCATTAATTTGTTTTGTTCATAAAATCGTTTCGGTCCTGTGAAATGGTTAGAGGGACAACTAGCATTTTTCTTCAGGATCTGCACAGCTCTTAAGCCTTTACTAAGCCAGTTTCTCCACTAGCACGTAAAATTGGAGTTAGATTTGCTCCTCCTTTCAAAAATAAGCCAAAGATAAATAAGATACTATGTAAGAGTATTTTCAGCATTTCAGAAGGAACTTGCTAGAGGAAAAAAAAAAAAAAAAAACAAACCCTAACAATGCAACTGAACTCTTTTTTAACACCTAAATCAGGGATCAAGACAAAGCCGGTGTTGAAAATCAAATTCATTAAAGCCAGATTTTTCTGTTTGAGTTTCTGTGTTGGGAAACGGGTCTGTGTCCATAAAAACCCATCTTCTAATGAGCTGTAATACTGAAATTCTTCGGTAATGTCACTCCTTCCCACTCCCTATCTTTTTCAGAACTTCCAGGCATTAAAGACAACGTCTGCCAATTCTACAACTTCTCCCCGCCTGCTAGGATTCAGATGGATTCCACAACTTTCCAGCCTTCCGTGACTTTTAACACTACTCTAGAGCTAATCACTTTTAATGACCCCACTCTGGAATAGGCACTCCTTGGCTTTACACTTTGTCCCGGCAGCAATCGACTGAACGACATGTCCCCCAACGCCGACCACCTCGGACGACCTCAGACATTCGGGGTAGTTTGCAAGCCGGCCGGGCCCCGCAAGCTCGGATTCCTGCCCCACCTCCCAGAGCCGCCCGTCCCCTAAGCCCTCCTCAACCTCAACCCCCAAATCCCAAGCGCAGAACAACTGGGCTTCCGGTTCTCCTGTGCGCGCCCCGGATCCACCACACACCTCGCCCCTTCTCCCTGGGCTCGCTCTCAGGACCCTAACCCCTTCCCGAGCGGGGCCGAGCAACGCTTTCAGCAGCTGAACTAAGACTCGGGAGGCCGCACGTCCCCCTCCGCAGGCCCCGCCTGGGCCTCTCGGCTCGGCTGCCCTCCATTGCACCCCTGGCCCAACAGTGCTGACGCGGAAGAGTGGGACAGCACGAGCTTAGGCCCCGGCACTTACTCGGGAAGGTAGGTGGAGGAAAAGGAGCTCCACTTGTGTAGCGCGTAGGGGAGAAGCCGGCACTCGGGCGCCGCAGCGACAGCTCCGCCAGCCGCCATCTTGTCAGCACCGTAGCGGCCGCCACCGACCGCTGGCCGCGAACGGAGGAGCGGAGGGGGCGTGGCCTGCTCTTAAAGGGGCCGCCGCCCTCCCCGGCCGCCTGCGCTCCCTGCCCCGCATCGTTACCCGGGCCCAGCTAGGGGCCACGGTCCTATCTCGGGGTTTTCTATGTGGCTCGCTCCTTTGACGGCCGAGCGACACTGGGTCTGAGGTGTAAGCGCTTTTCCAGGCTCTTCCCTGGGGCTTGGAGGGGAATGGCGCAAAAGACTTTTCTTACAAGCAGAGGTAAGGACAAGCCAAGATGATTACGAACAGAAATACGTTGTAGTTATGGAGCAGAAAGGGAAAATAAGAAGACTAAGTTGGAAAAGGCACGCCTGTGCGCTTTTGGAAGCCACCGCCCTCCCCAGTTTGTAAGTCCTTTACGGAAACAACACTGAAAGGAGCTGGAGGGCAGTAGCTAATGTGTTGTCCTCCTGGAATGGTCCTGGTTTTAAATGTCTTGTCCCCGCCTTCCAGAGTCAGATGGAGACAGGAAAAGGAAATGGTCCCGTGTCCTCCTACCCTGTTTGGTTTGCAGTCTGTGATGCCCTGCATTGTAAACATTTCTTGTGATCCGCGTCCTACTAATCTTGTGGCATTGGTTTCCTGGGGAATGACGTTCACCCACAGACCGAGTTGGGAAGCTGCGTGTCATCATTTTTTCAGTTGGCAAATCTGCCCACTTTGAACTGACATAATTGTAGCCTAAAAGTTCAGCGAGAGAGAAGTTCAGGAAAAAGACTATTCCATCTTCTTAGAGGCAACAGCAGCCCTGAAAACCATATGGACATCATACTAGCTTCTTATAACAAAAGGAGCACTTGGTCTAAATATCTGGCAGTTTTAGATAATGTTCTCATCAAGTACCTGTTTGTCGTAGTTATGCATATTTATTCCTTGGCTTAGCCACTGCAGTTACCAAAGAGTATGTCTTTTATTGTCTAAGAGGTTAGACTCCTGAAAGCCTGGACAGTGTCATAATCTCCACCTGAAGAGTGGAAAAATTCAAGCAGAGTTTCTCAGGAAATGACCAAGTGAGTCAAAACACCTCAATAATTGTATTCTCTTCCCGTTGTAATCATTAACCTGCCGAAACTCCCTCAAGTCCTTTCCTGACTTCCTGTTTCTATAGGTGGAAATTTAATGATAGGCTCTACTAGGATATCAGATCAAAAAAGCCAAATAGAAAGGCCAGGCTGGGCACAGTGGCTCACGCCTGTAATCCCAGCACTTTGGGAGGTCCAGGTGGGAGGATCACTTGAGCCCAGGAGTTTGAGACCAGCCTGGTCAACATAGCAAGACCCCCATCTCTAAAATAACAAAAATAAAATAAGAAAGGCCACAAGTATGTTCACCTTTAAAATTACATGTGCTTGGCCAGGCATGGTGGCTCACACCTGTAATCCCAGCACTTTGGGAGGCCGAGGCAGGCAGATCACCTGAGGTCAGGAGTTCAAGACCAGAGTGGTCAACATGGTGAAACCCCGTCTTTACTAAAAATACGAAAGTTAGCTGTGTGTGGTGACATACACCTATAATCCCAGCTACTTGGGAGGCTGACGCATGAGAATCACTTGAACCCAGGAGGCGGAAGTTGCAGCAAGCCAAGATCACACCACTGCACTCCAGCCTGGGAAACAGAGTGAAACTCTGTCTTGGAAAAATAAATAAAATACAGTAAAATAAAAAATTACATGTGCTCTGTGTGCTGCAGCAGGTTGGAAAAGTATGTATTCCTTAAGGGAATGCTGTAACCCTTGTGACTTGGGTTGGGAGCTGCCAGAGACAATGGGAAAGGGCCAGAGAATGTTAGCCCCAGAGAGGATATGGTGGTTATCTTTGGAGAAAATAGACACTTTAAAGGGGAGGAATTAACTCACTTGAATTCCTTTGGGCCCCAGATTTTCTAATTCCACTTCTTACCTTAATGTAAGTCAAGTCCTTGTTCTTTTCCAGACATAGTTCCTGAGCAATCTTTTTAAAAAACACATATTAACTAGTTCTTTTTAGGCTTTAACCCTTTTGGTGACTTTCAGCCCCCTTCTAAACTGTTTAACAGAGGCCCTTCATAATCTGCCTTGATTTTTCTCTCCAGCTTCCCTCGCCCCCACCCCCCCCATCTTTCTCCTTTGCGCTTTTGACATCTGTCCACTCACTAGCACACTGAATTTGTTCCCATAGAGTCCATGTTCTCTGTAGCCTCCAGGGCTTACTCTAAGCTAGGCTTGGAATATTCTTTACCATACTTTACCTGGCTAACTCCAGCTCATCCTGTAGACTATTTGGTCCTGGAAATTTTTTTGGTTTTCTTTTTTTTTGAGACGGGGTCTCCCTCTGACTCTGTCACCCAGGATGCAATGCAGTCACATGAACATGGCTCACTGCAGCCTTGACCTCCTGGGTTTAAAGGATCATCCTGCCTCAGCCTCCCATGTAGCTGGGACCGTAGGCAGACATCACCACACCAAGTTACTTTTTTGATTTTTTTTGTAGACACAGGGTTTCCCTCTGTTGCCCAGGCTGGTCTTGAACTCCTGGGCTCAAGCGATCCTCCTGCCTTGGCCCGGCCTCCCAAAGTGCTGAGATTACAGGTGTGAGCCACTGCATCTGTCCGAAAATCTTTCTTCATCACCTGCTTTGGGATTAGGTGACCGTTTTCTTCATTTTTTTTTTTTCCTACGTAAGCTAACACAAGATAGGTAACATTTTTTACATTTCTCTTAGCACTCTAAGTTTCCCTCTTTGTCTTTACACACATCACAATATATTTTAATTTCTTCTTTATTTCTCTTTCTTTCTCTCTAAATGATAGCTGCCATGAAGATAAGAGTCATACGTATCTTGTTCACAGTTGTATCCTCAGTCCTGTTGATGTGTCTAGCAAATAGAAGATGTTCAGTAAATATTTATCAAAGAATGGATGAATAATGCTAAAAGAGAACTTGAATTAGAGACTTTTGCGTTGCAAAGGAAAAGAAAATGCCAGCACTTCTCAGACTACAAACCTGTATCCCGGAGGTATAATTGCTACTCAGAAGGTAAAGACACAGGATAGTGTGGCTTTCCTGCATCACAAATTTTATAAATGGCAAAATAATTTAAAGCATTCCTATGTTAACATAAATACAGATAGTTATATTATGATACTGAGCCGAAATTTTTTTAAATGTTAAGAAAAGAACTTTATCTGAGGAATGCAAATCCTTTTAAATTATGAGGCCCAGAGAGGCATTAAAGTGAAACAGTGATCCTGTCCTCCTCCCCCACTTTTAAGCTGTGTATTTGTCTCTTGAAACTGCTTACTATTGCCACAGAAGCTAAACATTAACCTACTGATTAATGCTGCACCAGACATTATAACCCACATCCTATAGTTTCATAATGTGTAGCCAATCAGTATCTTGTTTTATTTTAATGTAAATTCTTGGTAAATAACTCAGGAACTGCCTCATCTTTCCCTTTAAAAATCCACTTGCAACTGCTGCTACTCAGAGCGTATATTCAGGGCAACTTGAATCTATGTTCCCGAGTTGCGGTCATCAAGCTTGGCCCAAATAAACTCCCAACTTATATTAATTTTGCCTCAACTTCTTCCTTTTAGGTCAAACATCTAGAGTAAGTCAGCAGGATACGGAGTGATTCCCCCACACACCTGGTGTTTCTCTCTGAAAGCAGCGCTTGGTACCAGTGTGAACTCTCCGCCTTCAGAAGTCTCGTCAGGTGTTTCAGGCGAGTTCTCCTGAATGTGGACCTCCCACTCTTGGGTTGAAGGCCTAGACTTTATTTGGGCTGTTTTTCAAACCCTTTCTTTCCTTTAAGTGTGAGGGCTTCGGTCTCTGTCCACTCTTGGGTTGAAGGCCTAGACTTTATTTGGGCTGTTTTTCAAACCCTTTCTTTCCTTTAAGTGTGAGGGCTTCGGTCTCTGTCCACTCTTGGGTTGAAGGCCTAGACTTTATTTGGGCTGTTTTTCAAACCCTTTCTTTCCTTTAAGTGTGAGGGCTTCGGTCTCTGTCTTTGGACAGAAGATCCGGGTAAAGAGCTCTGCCTTTTTGCCCGCTCTGTCTTACAGCAGAGGTGCAGGTCATGGTTTTTCTGCCTCTGCTTCAGAACCAGGGGTTTGGGTCAAGGTTTTTTCACCTCTGTCTCACAGCACAGGTTTGAGTGAAAGAACTGGCAGTTAGGCACCAGTGGTTTCATTTTATATTATATGCCTTTGAGATAGCAGTTGTTTCCTATCGCTTGAAAATTCCGAATTAGTCTTTAATTTTAACCAATTCCTGTTAGTTCCTAACTGAAATGTATACCCCTTTTGCTCTTCCAGATGGATGTAATATGAGGGTCTGGTCCCCCATACCTTGAGGACTCTGTTGCCATCTGACAATTAGAGACAATCCAATTGTCCTCATCCTTGAGGACTCTGCTACCATCTGACAATTAGAGACAGTCCAAGACATGTCACAGTTTGATCCTAAACACATTCCTGGCTTTGGTCACTTTTGAAAAGTTCCTGAATTATGAGAAATCAATAATAAGGGTGTTCAAAACCTGAACACTCTTTTTAGAAATAACTGCTGGAATTACATATACGATTTATGGGGTACTCTCTTGTAGTGTCTGGGAAAGCAGACCCATCTAACCTGGAATGATCATAGGCAACAATGACCAAAAATGGGCATCTTTTGATATACCTAAAGTAATTTATTTGTATACACCATTGGAAAGAGCTGGTTTTAGAACCAGACATGTAAATATGAGACTTACTTCCACTGGCACCTAAAAACTTCTAAAAGAAATCCTGAAAGAAAAAATCACCTTCATTCAAGAGGTAAACAAAGGAATATTTGAAACTATTTAAAAAGACTTCGGAGTCTTTCTCCCTTTCACCTCCAGATCCTCCCTTTTCTTCCAGCTCTGTGATCTGAACTCATCCCTTTCTGCTTCTTCCCTTGGCCTCCATACATTTCTTAGGCAGAGATTTTTTAAAATTTCACAATGTACACATTTCCTTCTCTCAGGGGAAATGAATTTAAATTTAGAGCAGAAGGAACAAGTAGAACAACAACAGAACAGGAATAAGACTGCTGAGACTATAAAAATGCAGATCCATCAAAATTTTTTCTAACCAGGTCTGGTGAATGACACTGTGATATGGTCTGGCTCTGTGTTTCCAACCAAATATCTCGATTTGTAATTCCCATGTGTTGGGGGAGAAGCCTGGTGGGAGGTGATTGGATCATGGAGGCGGTTTCCCCCATGCTGTTCTCATGATAGTGAGGGAGTTCTCATGAGATCTGATGGTTTAAAAGTGTTTGGCAGTTCCCTTTCTGGCTTCCTCTCTCTTGCTGCCTTGTGAAGAAGGTGCCTGCTTCTCCTTCACCTTCCACCATGATTGTAAGTTTCCTGAGGCCTCCCCAGCCATGCAGAACTGTGAGTCAATTAAACCTCTTTTATTTATAAATTACGCCGTCTCGGGTAGTTCTTTATAGCAGTGTGAGAATGAACTAATACACACTGATTTATTGACCCACTATCAGACAGTACCCTTTAAATCTTATCATGTCTTTAAAATGCTAACATTCAGGGAATTAGCTAAGCAGCATTCCAGATGAGATCAGACGGAAACAAGATAAAATCCTTAAGTGCTTAAACTGCCTGCTTTGGATTCCCTGCAAGATTTACCAAAAAACAAATACACAAACAAAAACAAAAACAAAGAAAACACTTCACCCAGTGGTAAAATGGCTAGGATTTGGTGCTTTCACCACTGTAGCCTGAGTTCAATTCCTGGCCAGGGAGCTAATCTCATTTGTTTTAAAGTATTGTATGATTCTTGACCTTTTGGGATACCATTTGTAATTGATCCTTATCCCTTTTATGGACAACTTTTGATTTCCTGTCTTTTTCCATTTGTGAGACATACAGACCATTTGGACCTTCATGAGTACCCAGCCGAGAAGCTGAGATCCTAGAAATCATGACCAGACAGAAATGTGAATTGTACTTCACTTGTGGCTAAACTCCTTTCTTTGAGCTGTCTTTGGGGTGATTCTGGGTCTTGTGAGGACTGTGTTGCACCTCCTTTGGAGATGCCCCATGCATCCTTGGTTAAGTCATAACCTTGATTAAGGCTTACTGGTTCACCTTGGTGAGTCATTTGGAAGCATACCTTTTTTTTTTTTTTTTTTTTTAAAGTTCAGAAGCCAGGAATAACAGCTATTTGTGCTGGCTAATACCTGATAATGAGAGACTTGAAAAGTTTTTCTTTTTTTTTTTTTAATTTTACTTTAAATTCTGGGATACATGTGCAGAATGTGCAGGTTTGTTACATAGGTATACATGTGCCATGGTTGTGTGCTACACTTACCAACTGTCATCTAGGTTTTAAGCCTTACGTGCTTTAGGTATTTGCCCTAATGCTCTCCCTCCTCTTGGCCCCACTCCCTGACTGGCCCTGGTGTGTGATGTTCCCCTCCCTGTGTCCATGTGTTCTCATTGTTCAACTCCCATTTATGAGTGAGAACATGTGGTGTTTGGTTTTCTGTTCCTGTGTTAATTTGCTGAGAATGATGGTTTCCAGCTTCATCCATGTCCCTGGAAGGGACATGAACTCGTTCTTTTTTATGGCTGCATAGTATTCCATGGTGTGTATGTGCCACATTTTCTTTATCCAGCCTATCATTGATGGGCATTTGGGATGGTTCCAAGTCTTTGCTATTGTAATGTGCTGCAGCAAACATACATGTGCGTGTGTCTTTATACCAGAATGGTTTATAACCCTTTCAGTATATACCCAGTAATGGGATTGCTGGGTCAAATGGTATTTCTGGTTCTAGATCCTTGAGGAATCACCACACTGTCTTCCACAATCACAATGGTTGGATTAATTTACACTCTCATCAACAAGTGTAAAAGCTTTCCTGTTTCTCCACAGCATTGCGAGCATCTGTTGTTTGCTGACTTTTTAATAATTGCCATTGTAACTGGCATGAGATAGCATCTCACTGTGGTTTTGAGTTGCATTTCTCTAATGACCAGTGATGATGAGCTTTTTTTCATGTTTTTTGGCCACATAAATCTCTTCTTTTGGAAGTGTCTGTTCATATTCTTTGCCCACTTTTTGATGCGGTTGTTTTTTTTTTTCTTGAAAATTTGTTTAAGTTCCTTGTAGATTCTGGATATTAGACCTTTGACACATGGGTAGATTGCAAAATTTTTCTCTCATTCTGTAGGTTGCCTGTACACTCTGGTGATAGTTTCTTTTGCTATGCAGAAGCTCTTTGGTTTAATTAGATCCCATTTGTCAGTTTTTGCTTTTGTTGCAATTGCTTTTGGTGTTTTAGTCATGAAGTCTTTGCCCATGCCTATGTCCTAAATGGTATCGCCTAGGTTTTCTTCTAGGGTTTTTATGGTTTTGGATTTTACATTTAAGTCTTTAATCTATCTTGAGTTAATTTTTGTATAAGGTGTAAGGAAGGGGTCCAGTTTCTGTTTTCGGCATATGGCTAGTTTTCCCAGCACCATTTATTAAACACGGAATCCTTTCCTCATTGCTTGTTTTTGTCAGGTTTGTCAAAGATCAGATGGTTGTAGATGTGTGGTGTTATTTCTGAGGTCTCTGTTCTGTTCCACTGGTCTATGTATCTGTTTTGGTACCAGTATAATGAGTTTTGGTTACTGTAGCCTTGTAGTATAGTTTGAGGTCAGGTAGTGTGATGCCTCCAACTTTGTTATTTTTGCTTATGATTGTCTTGTCTATGCAGGCTCTTTTTTGGTTCCATATGAAATTTAAAGTAGTTTTTAATAATTATGCAAAGAAACTTAGTGGTAGCTTAATGGGAATAGCATTGAATCTATAAATTACTTTGGGCAGTATGGCCATTTTCATGATATTGATTCTTCCTATCCATGAGCATGGATTTTTTTCCATTTGTTTGTGTCCTCTCATTTCCTTGAGCAGTGGTTTGCAGTTCTTGAAAAGGTCCTTCACGTCCCTTGTAAATTGTATTCCTAGGTATTTTATTCTCTTTGTAGCAATTGTGAATGGGAGTTCACTCGTGATTTGTCTCTCTGTTCTCTATGATTGGTGTATAGGAATACTTGTGATTTTTGCACATTGATTTTGTATCCTGAGACTTTGCTGAAGTTGCCTGTCAGCTTAAGGTGATTTTGGGGCTGAGACAATGGGTTTTCTAAATATATAATCATGTCATCTGCAAACAGAGACAAGTTGACTTCCTCTTTTCCTATTTGAATACCCTTTATTTCTTTCACTTGCCTGAGTGCCCTGGCCAGAACTTCCAATACTATGTTGAATAGGAGTGGTGAGAGAGGGCATCCTTGTCTTGTGCCGGTTTTCAAAGGGAATGCCTCCAGCTTTTGCCCATTCAGTATGATATTGGCTGTGGGTTTGTCATAAATAGCTCTTACTATTTTGAGATACGTTCTATCAATACCTAGCTTATTGAGAGTTTTCAACATGAAGAGATGTTGAATTTCATCGAAGGCCTTTTCTGCATCTATTGAGATAATCATGTGGTTTTTGTCATTGGTTCTATTTACGTGATGGATTACATTTGTTGATTTGTGTATGTTGAACCAGCCTTGCATCCCAAGGATGAAGACATCTTGATCGTGGTGGATAAGCTTTTTGATGTGCTGCTGGATTCGGTTTGCCAGTATTTTATTGAGGATATTCACATCAACGTTCATCAGGGTTATTGGCCTAAAATTTTCTTTTTTTGTTGTGTCTCTGCCAGGTTTTGGTATCAGGAGGACACTGGCCTCATAAAATGAGTTAGGGAGGAGTCCCTCTTTTTCTGTTGTTTGGAATAGTTTCAGAAGGAATAGTACCAGCTCCTCTTTGTACCTCTGGTAGAATTCGGCTGTCAGTCCGTCTGGTCCTGGGCTTTTTTTGGTTGGTAGGCTATTAACTACTGCCTCAATTTCAGAGCCTGTTATTGGTCTATTCAGGGATTCAACTTCTTCCTGGTTTAGTCTTGGGAGGGTGTATGTGTCCAGGAATGTATTTCTTCTAGATTTTCTAGTTTATTTACGAGGAGGTGTTTATAGTATTCTCTGATGGTAATTTGTATTTCTGTGGGATCAGAGGTAATATCCCTTTTATCATTTTTTATTGTGTCTATTTGATCCTTCTCTCTTCTTTGTTAGTCTAGCTAGTGGTATATTTTGTTAATTTTTTCAAAAAACTACTCTGAATTCATTGATTTTTTGAAGAGTTTTTCGTGTCTCTATCTCCTTCAGTTCTGCTTTGATCTTAGTTATTTCTTGCCTTCTGCTAGCTTTTGAATTTGTTTGCTCTTGCTTCTCTAGTTCTTTTAATTGTGATTTTAGTGTGACAATTTCAGATCTTTCCAGCTTTCTGATATGGGCATTTGGTGCTATAAATTTCTGTCTTAACACTGCTTTAGCTGTGTCCCAGAGAGTTTGGTATGTTGTCTTTTTGTTCTCATTGGTTTCAAAGAACTTCGTTATCTCCCTTAATTTTGTTATTTATCCAGGAGTCATTCAGGAGTAGGTTGTTCAATTTCCATGTAATTGTGCAGTTTTGAGTGAGTTTCTTAATCCTGAGTTCCAATTTAATTGCACTGTGGTCTGAGAGACTATTTGTTATGATTTCCATTATTTTGCATTTGCTGAGAAATGTTTTACTTCCAATTATGCGGTCAATTTTAGAATAACTGCCATGTGGTGCTGAGAAGAATGTATATTTTGTTGATTTGGGGTGGAGAGTTCTATAGATGTCTGTTAAGTCCACTTGATCCAGAGCTGAGTTCAAGTCCTGAATATCCTTGTTAATTTTCTGTCTTGTTGATCTGTCTAATATTGACAGTGGGGTGTTAAAGTCTCCCATTATTGTGTGGGAGTCTAAGTCTCTTTGTAGGTCTCTAAGAACTTGTTTATGAATCTACGTGCTTCTGTATTGAGTGCATATATATTTAGGATAGTTAACTCTTCTTGTTGCATTGATCCCTTTACCATTCTGTAATGCCCTTGTCTTTTTTGAACTTTTTGGGTTTAAAGTCTGTTTTATCAGAGACCAGGATTGCATCCCCTGCTTTTTTTTTGCTTTCCATTTGCTTGGTAAATATTCCTTTGTCCCTTTATTTTGAGCCTATATATGTCTTTGCACGTGAGATGGGTCTCCTAAATACAGCACACTGAAGCGTCTTGACTCTTTATTCAGTCTGTGTCTTTTAATTAGGGTGTTCAGCCTATTTACATTTAAGGTTAATATTATTATATGTGAATTTGATCCTGTCATCATGATGCTAGATGGTTATTTTGCACA